GTGTGTGCTTGTGCGTGTGTGTGCGTGCGTGTGTGTGTGTGTGTGTATGCATATACGAGTTTATATATGAATGTATATATGTATATACGAATTTATGTGTGGCTATACGTTTGTGTGATATCCGTATGTATGTATATATATTTATGTGTATATATATATATATAGTAGAAGTAGGTCTGCAGACTTTTCACGGAACGGACTTGTCGAACTCAAGAAACTAACAAACTAACTCGCTACATTACGTATGAAGAGAACTATAATAGCGACAGTGCGCCCTATTAGTTGTACGACCGGCATAGACCTTGCTACTAGAAGAATCGGTTCGCATGGTACTTAGAACTACTCACACATGCCATCTTTAGAGCATAGCCAATTCGGGCTATGAGACCGCACCTTTGCCCTGCATAGTGTGGAATATATACTATCCGCACAAAGTTTGCTGTATATACTATATTTCGTATGCACAGTTTACTGACCTGCCTCTAGACGCCAATTCTACAGAAAGAAGCACTCGGGCACAAAAGGCGCTCCGTTGCCCTGTGTAGTTTTGTAGTTACCATCCTCACAAAAGTTGCTGCAGATACTCTAATACCTACGCACAGTTTACTAACCTGCCTCTACACACCACCTCTACAGCAAGAAGAACTCGGGTACAGAAAGCGCACCCTTGCCCTATATAGTGTTGGATGTACGGTCCGCCCAGGACTTGCAGCAGGGACGGCTTCCTACCGCAATACATGTGGACGTTGATCTGCTGATGGAGAACCCTGACGAGTTTCACAAGCGAATGGCCATGTTTGGCGAGATGGGGGATGAACACATCTGTGTGTATGGGTCGTCTACTGAAGGTGTGTGTGTGTGAAAGAGACCGATTGTGTTGGACGTATGCGTATGTGTTGATTGACTTTTTGAAATTCTTTCGAGTATGTAAACAGTTTTGTTTTTACCAGTGGTGTGTGATTGGGTTAGATAGGAATGTTACATCGTACTTTGTGTTGATGCACTGGTTTGGTGTTTCTGTAAGTACCACATCTGTGTGTATGCGTCTTTTATTATAGCAATGTATATGTGACTGCGATAGAATAACTCGTAGTTATGAGTGGGAGTGCCGATGTGATTTTCTAGTATTAATGTGTGAGCCACATCTCTGGGTGTATGGGTTTCCTATTGATTGAGTAGGTGGCTGTGTGAGGATATAAATCGTAGACAGATATCTATGCCGTGCTGGGTCATATGAGCTTTTATTCGTTTCACGCAAGTGAGTATATGGAAATTCGAATTCTACTGATGGTGTTTGTAAGAGAAGGTTAGTGTTCTATAAGTGTTGTCGCAGACGCATGTGTAGGTACCATCAAGGTTTGGCTGGTACACTTTTGTGGCACACATCTGTTGGAGTGGATTCTCCAGAGACGGTGAGTTTTATGAATCTGACTATGATAGATGATGCTTCCTGTCGATGTTTAACTTTTTATGAATTTACGGGAGTATATCATCTTATTTGTATGAACTATTCTCGCCTTTAAAAGGGATGTTGGGACTTGAATGCTATTGGTGTCTATCCTGGCCTAATTTGACTGTCATGCTCTCCGCCAATCAGAATCGAATACGCGAATGGTCATCAGCTACTTCTTGCAACGCAATATAAAGCACGTGAGTTGTTTGTCCGGCGGTTATCGCGCTATTCACGATCTCTTCAAGGAGACGGGCTTTGTGGAGATTGCCGACCACAATGCTGAAGTATGTGTATTATTAGTGTCACACACTTTAATGCGTGCGTGGTTTCTTGTTGAAATCCAAATGGAGATAGTAGGTTTCTGACTGGGAACGGTGGGTAGATGAGTGTTTGTGGTGAGGTGATTTTTTGAGGGGTTGGAAATCCCAGTATAAAAGAGATTATCCCCCCTGTGTGTGTCCGGGAACGAGTGTATCTCGTGTGTAATCAGGCTGATCTTACGCGACTAGGAGCCCTGGCGTTATGTGCATGTGTGTGTGGGAGGTTGTTACCTGTCAGGTATGTGTATGAGCATAGTGTGGTAGTCTAAAGTGAGTTCATACGCTTTTCATTCTCGCTCTGGTTAGGGCTGCAGAGTCATTTCTTCGGCGTCAGCAACGCTCGCGCACTCAACAGTCAGTACATGTATATTGGATTTATTTTCAAATAATTGAAGAATCATGTGTTTTACATATATATGTATTACATCACTCACTCTCACGTGCGTTTGGCATCTTCTATCTGTGTGCAAAAAAAAGAAGCGTCGGCTGGCGACTCGCGCCAAGCTTGACGCTGCAGTGTTCTCGTACGTGACCCTACATGCGGAACCAAAGCCAATACAATCCTTCAACCTCTCCTTCTAACCAGTCTTGCACTTCTCGTCGCTCGTATGCGCATTCTACTGTGTAAAGTCTCAGTTTTCAAACAGCATGCACGTAGTAAACTGACCCTTGGCTTGAACTCAGCACCATCTGCGTAGTCTCGCCTGAGCACATCCCTCGAATAATATTATTAAACCGATTCCTCTGTCTTGTTGCTTATGTCGCTCAGGCTTGCACGGTATGCAACCCCAATGCGATCGCTTCGCCGTCGCCCGACAGCCGTTCGCATTCTAGGACGTTCTCATTCGACAGCATCCGTGCTTCGTTAAGGAGGTGTGATGGTCTTTCTGTGGCGGATCTGTGTGTTTCTTAATCTATCATATGTTTGAATATCCGTGAACTCTACAGCACGTGATTACTGCAGGTGGATAGAAGCGTGAGGTATGGGTAGGAATATTACTAGGAATAGGCTAGAGGTCGCTGTGGCTGTAAGTACAATGCACCGAGAATGTTTGTGCTGGACTCCTTCATAATTACTCAAAGCCTACAGCGTAAACGCCACTCTCAGTCTAGGGAAGCCCTCTAAGAACGTAGTAAAGTGGCGTATCTCGACTTGCTTGCTGTTTCATAATGGCACATGTCATGTCTAATTGATATTGATTCACCGACCCATTAATCGGCAGGAAATCTGATGTGCCACTCGCGAAGGCTATGCTTAAAGATGATAAAGAATCAGAGAAACCGCCAGTGTCGGTTAAAGCAAATGAAAGTTGGTCGTCATTCTTCCAGAGAGGGAAACAAACTCTAAGTAATATTGGGAAGGTATACGCTGAGTGAGACCCCTCCATCATGCTGTGTGTGATGGTGTATGCAGATGCTACGTTGGAGTTTTAGGGGCGGTGTCTGACAAATGCCTGCTGGAGTCCACTCAGAATGTGTGCTCTCACAAAAGAGCACGAGCATGAAAAATTGATCATTGACTTGTGTTCCGTACTCCGCATGGAGAACGTTGAAGTAGTGTACTGATAGAGCAGTTGTGGTGCGTTGTGATCATCCTTATATTAATTTGGCTGCAAAAAATGTATACGGAGGTATTTACACGAACAAACGACGAAGCAAATTGTCCATGCTTCGAGAAATCTGTTACTGACGTCCCATTCCGCTGCATATACATGTATAGATATTTAATTGTTCATCTAATCGCAAACGCACCTGCAAACCTCTTTGTGTATATACACCAGGATAAGAATGGCGATACGCACGTGCAAACCAGCCGACAGTCATCCGTGGCGAGTAATAGGGGACCGTTTGGTATCGGCGGTTCAGATGAGGATAGCGATGGCTCCGATGTGGAGGTAGGTCAAGTGCACGTGTGGACCATAAAACGTACCGTATTGTAAAAAGTGGCTGTTGAGTGGGATAGGACAACCTGGATGTACATCTCTAAGCACGCAATGATATTGTTGCTGGTGTATTGCTAAGTCGTAGTCCCCGCAGCCTCCGCCGTGGGCTGTTTCTAAAGATATTTTATTCGGTAGTTTGTTTAGTGATGTTGAAGGTATGTATTTTAAGTTACTTGTTGGCTCGCTCTGCGTACAGGGAGCGCCATTGCATCCCGGGCCACACACACAGTTCAGTATCTCTCCACAATTGCTTGATCTATATATTTGATTCGCAACTTGACTGTAAACCGCCCCCTGCAATAAAAAGCCCTGATTTCAATGAAGATAAATACAGAGTATAATGTTTACAGAAAGAAAACCTGAACTCGGTGCATAAGATGAATATAGGGGATACTAACGTAGTATGCTAAATATACCGCATTTTGCAGGAAGGAAACCTGAATAAGGATAATGTAGTAATGTTCAATGTAAGGAAAATGACGTAGTGTGTGTGATATACGGTATTTTGCAGGGAGAAAACCTTAATTCGATGCGTAAGATAAATATAGAGGATAATATGGACGACATTGGCGCCATCAGCTCATTCCAGTGCGAAGAAATGGCGCCGCGCAACCGGAGAATCGCCAGGTATTTGATTAGCTCCAATCGGCATTCGTTTCTATGTCTAATGTTAGTTGATCGCATTGCTTTACGTATTGCAATTTCCCAGGTATCTAAATAGTTTCGATCGGCATTAGTTGTTATGTCTAATTTCGTTTAATTCACCACTTCACGTATTGTACTGTTCCCGGATATCTGATTAGTTTCAACTGGCATTAGTGTTGTCTAGTTTTGATTAATTGTGTTTAGTCGTGTATAATCTACGAATACGTGTATTGGAATTGGAGTATGCATGTACACCTGTCTGTGTGCAAGAGCGGGCCGGTGAGTCAGTATGTGTACATGTCTTGTGTAGGTCACATGACCGTCTACAAATGGAGCTGAGTATTTCTCTGCTGAATTTGTCCAACGATCTCACAGTGGCCAGACTACAGCCCGTCACAGTCTACTGTCCGCGCGAGAGGGTGCGCTCACTTGTTTACAAGCGCTATAATTGATTTCAATTCGCATACGCTCTACTATCGAGTACATGCATGAAGGCATCTCCCAATGGGTGTAAAATGTATTACATCTCACAGAATTCCATATATAGTTCACCCCCACACACACATCGATAACATCTCTTACCTCTCTCATTTGCTGCACACACTCCCTCTCAATGTACAGTGTCCTCGTGGTGTCGGAGAGTGCCTTCTATGTGTTGCGCACGCCGGCTCAGACACATCCGGTGGCTTACGTCAAGGTAAGCTAGTAGAATGCCATGCGCCCACGCGCAATGCCATGCGCCCACGCGCTTGATCCCAGATGTACAATTCAGTGTTGTTGCTATTTGCTTTGAATGATTACGTACAAGTGCTTGTGCTGAATTCAGTGTTGTTGCTATTTGCTTTGAATGATTACGTACAAGTGCTTGTGCTGAATTCAGTGTTGTTGCTATTTGCTTTGAATTACGTACAAGTGCTTGTGCTGGCACTGCGGCTTCCATGACTCATCCAGTTCATGCGTTCTCCTACCGGACATCTAGGAGTCCTTTCCGCTTTGGACCCTTACGAAGATAACTGCCAACAAGAAAGATGCTGACCTCTTGACCTTTGTGTTCAAAATAGAAAGGTGAGTTGGCGTGTTTCTATATGATACATAATTTGTGTCTCCCCGTGTCTGGCTTGTAACACTGGAGCTAGCACAGCTTCTGTTGGCACATCAGAATTCTGTGTTGGAACACTGCCCAAGTCTGCACTGTCGAAAGAAATATGGTGGGCATGCCGCTCGCCAAACCTGCTATGTATCTGCTAAAGTGTGTATCCAACACGCCACGTTGCTGAGCAAATTAATTCATGTGGCTCAAAATTTTAATCTGCTATCGAGTACTTCACGCTAACTTCTCGCACCTGCCTCTGATTCTTTCTCGTGTGTTACCGCCTTCTCGGAACTCTAATGGACATTAGGGACGGCATACAAACAACACAGCCTAGGCGATTTTTGCTCAAGAACAGCCGCACAGTATCGCAGACGATTGGCAAGTTGGTTCTCGCGAACGTACGCCAACGACAAAGGCGCCATACTTTACCACTGCAAGAGTACATGCAGAATGTACAGAGCGTGAGTGCGAAAGGAGATACACACAGCCAAGAAGTAGCAGGTACGAGCCAATCGGCACCGATTGAAAACGGAGATAAGCCACAGCACGATATATCTGAAGAGGATAACGCGACGATACCCAGCGTAGTGGACCAGCGTGCGACCGGGGATATGCAGCTGCCGTCACACAGTATAGGGAGTGATGAAGATTAGGTCCAGAATAAAATACCAATGACGAACCCTTGCGAATGATGTGTGATGTACGGACGGTGTGGAATTTGGCGTATTGTTGACAAGGAGTGGGAAGACCTAAAACATCCACCAGTCTGATACTTACGTAAGCGTAAAAAGGAAATGATTCCAGATCAGCAAGTGTTACAAAGATGTTAACTGTGATGAAAGGTAATGGGGGCTAACAAGCAATATATTACAAACAGGAACAAGAAACGTGTTTCTCGTCAGGGAATCTATATGATGAACTTTCGTGCATCAGACCACTCGAAAACGCCCTTTCGCTGGTGAATACGTAGGTTCATACCAGTTGATAAGGAAATATGATGAGGCGTGATGGAACCTCTCGTCCCGGGAGATTCACACTATACGAAGTAAAAGCGTACTGTCACAACGATAATCTGTACAAAAGCAAGTGCATCAGTTAACCATTGCCTTGCGTAGGGCTCATAGCTTTTATTCGAGATGTATGTACCACCCAAGTGGATAACGACCACTAACGACTTATCGCTAGTAAATCAACTTTACATGTTTCTCTGTTGGACAAACACATAGACGAAAAAAGGGAATAACTCAAAAGCAGGTATCAAGTATCTATGAATTAAAAAATCGGAAATATTTACCTAAATACCAAAAACGCTTGCGTTTACATATATTATATTTATCGAACAACACTCGAAAAAGGTAGTGGTATTTGTTATGTCTACAACAGCAGTTTGTACAGCTAGTTCTTTGTACTGTTTGACTTTGTCGACTGTAGGGCTATAGGCTGCATGTTTACAGACTTTAGTCTGTAGAGTGTAGTGTGTCAGGTGTATTTAGACAAGAGAAGAGGATGAGATCATGAGAGAGACACACAATTGTGGTTTCCGACGATGTTCTTTTTGAAAAGCGTTGAAAACAGTAGGTTTTCAAGAAATGTTCCTAAAAAAAATCGTTGAAAACGCCAGTCATCATTATTTGTCTCAGCCGTATTTGTACCCGTATTTATTTCCATTTGAACATTGAAATAAAATCCATCAGAAACAGTAGTCAAAATCGATCGGCAGAAAACTCGCAGATACTCTAGTAATAAACTTTAGTCTAACGCATGCATAGCTAATATTGAAGGTAGTGTAGTATGTCAGATTTAGATACACAGCGTGTCCGTAGCGCACAGGAACACACCAAAGATGAAGTTGCCGATAAGAGCCAGAACGCAGCTGACATCAAAACAACGACGATCAGCGACGTCAAAAGCCAAGACCGCGAAGAGGCAATACATATATATATATATATATATATATATATATATATATATACTACTACTACACTAACTAACTAAATATATATATATAGTATATATATATATATATATATATATATATATATATATATATATATATATATATATATATATATATATATATAT